CCCCCAGCAAATCTTTTCCCAATTCTCCTCAGAAATCTGCTGATCTAGGTCCACTTCCCACCTCCTTCGCAGAATCTCAAAGGTATAGAATCTGTCAATAATGCATATAACCAAGAGATCAGATGCCTGGATGGGCCTCTTCCTGTGCATGCCTGTTCAAAGGGTGTCAGATCCCTGGCAAAGTCTCCTTTCCCAGTCGTCAGGTAATGTCGTACCTGAAGATATGTCCACCAGGGAACCTGCCCTCCTCGGGACAGTTCCTGTAGGTCTGCTCTATCCTGAAACTTCTGGTTCCTGAAGAATTTGTATGCTCTCAGGCATTCTTGGGGCTGCCATTGGCGTTCAAACTCCGCTGTAGAGCCTACTGGGAAGGCTTTGTTATCTGACAGAGAGCATGTAAGGATGCTTCCATAAGAGGGTGCAGTCCCACCTCTGGGTGTCTATATTTGTCCGTTATCCACGTGGCCGAGGTTAGTGGTTGGGGGTGTCCACTCCACTTCCATATTCACCCATAGCTTCGTGCTACCATTCACATGCCAATCCACTATCCTGTTCAGATGGCAGGCCCTGTAATACCCCTGTATGTCCGGCACTCCCAGGCCTCCCTGCGTTTTGGGGGCTGTCAGCAATGCCCACGTCACCCTTGGTTGTTTATCTTGCCATACAAAACGTCTGAATTCTGCATCTATATTTTTGAGGAACAGTCCGGGTAGTCGGATTGGTATGGTCTGGAACAAGTCGAGCAGCTTCGGTAGCACAATCATTTTGACCAGTGCGGCCCTCCCTGCGTTTTGGGGGCTGTCAGCAATGCCCACGTCACCCTTGGTTGTTTATCTTGCCATACAAAACGTCTGAATTCTGCATCTATATTTTTGAGGAACAGTCCGGGTAGTCGGATTGGTATGGTCTGGAACAAGTCGAGCAGCTTCGGTAGCACAATCATTTTGACCAGTGCGGCCCTACCATTGCTGGAGATCTCTCTTGATCATAGCCAGGAGCGGTTGGAAATTCAGTCTGTCCCCAGGTATTTTATGGCCTGCTTTACCCAGCGCACTCGGAATGAGCTCTGAAGTTCCATAGAGCAGTCATCCCCGCCTCGTAGGGTTAGAGCTTCTGACTTTGTGTAGTTAATAGAGAGATTAGACAGGTCTCCGTATTCCTTAAACATTTGAAAAAATTACCCCAATTGGGGTATATGCAGGAGAAGGCGGTTCGACAGGATCTTGGTGAAAAATTTCAGGTCCACATTCAGCAAGGAGATGGGTCTATAGCTCAAACATAGCTGGGGGTCCTTGCCTTCCTTGGGAATGACCGTTATAAGCGCCTCCAATGACTGACGGGGGAGTGCGATCCCTTCCCGTATGCCATTGTAGGCTGCCAGGAAGTGTGGGCCCAGGATGTCTTTAAAAGTTCTATAGTATTGGGACGGTATTCCGTCGGGGCCTGGGCTCTTCCCAGGTTTCGTTTGGGAAAGTGCCAAATTCAACTCGGCTTCCGTGATAGGGGAGTCCAGTGCGGTGGAGATCTGTGACTCTAGCTTGGGCATTCTAGATTTTCGTATATATGTGCGGATGTTCCTTACTCTATCGGTCATCTGGTCCGCGTCTCTTGATGTCGGGGGGTGTAAATTATAAAGAGCGCTATAATATTCCCTAAAGCATTTCACAATCTCGGGGGGTGACGAGGTCAGCGAGGTCAAATTTTTCTTTATGGACCTTATATGGGAGCGGTACAGTCTCGACTTCACTGATTGTGCTAGAAGCTTACCCGACTTGTTACCGCCCTCATAATAAATCCCGTTGCGAAGGGTGAATGCCCTGCGTATTCCGCTGTCCACTGCTATTTTGAGTTCTTTCCTGGCCTCTACCAATTCCTGCAGGGTCCTAGTCGCCAGGGACTCCTTGTGAAGGGCTTCTAGTTTGGCAACTTTCTCATAAAGGGCGCGCACCCATTCCCCTCTCTCTTTTCTTCCACTACATTGCAATAGCGGCCCCGGAGAAAACACTTATGCGCCTCCCATACTGACATCTGGGAAGGCACACTTCCTACATTGATTGCAAAATACGTCTTCAAGTCGTTGGCTATCGAATCTACCACTACTGTGTCTGCTCAAAGTGAGGTATTCATTCTCCATGTCGATGATCTAGACATGGGAGCGTGCAGGGAGAGGACGGTCACCGTCGGTGCGTGGTCAGAGGTTGTAATGTTACCTATGGACGCCGAGGTCAGTCTAGGGAGGTCTCTTTGAGTGACAAATATGTAGTCGATTCGGGAATATTTGCTGTGCATATGTGAATAAAACGTGTAATCCCTACCATCCGGATTCAATGTATGCCAGGCGTCACACAGACTAAGATCTTGTAGTTTGGACTTCATGAATTTTAGGGTTCGATAGGGCAGGGAGGATTTCCTGTCTGAGGTATCCAATAGGGGGTTCAAAGCTACATTAAAGTCTCCACCCAAAATTATCGTCCCCTTCACCACTGCTGACAGCTTGGATACCAGGCTACTCAAGAAGTGTGCATGGTGTTTATTGGGGAAGTACGCATTAGCAATGGTGATCGGATGGTCATCTATCTTGCCCTGCAAAATTAGAAATCTTCCGTCCGGGTCACTATATTCTGCCTCCACTTCCAGGGACACCGAGCGGTGTACCAAAATCGACACCCCATGCGATTTATTGGATGGGGAGGTCGAGTGATACACCCCTGGGTACAAATGTGCACCTAACTTCGATACCTTCCCATGCTTGAAATGTGTTTCCTGTAGTAGCACAATGGAGGCCCTGGCTGCCTGAAGATCTCCCAATACTCTAGCCATTTTCTCTGGGGAGTTTAGTCCCTTCACATTGAAGGAGATAATTATCAAATCATTCGGATGAGTCATGGCCCTTGGGCAAGGTAGTGGAAGGAAAGTTATAGAAAATCAAAGGAAGGACCAGTTGAGATACAGAGAAACGCTCCCAACTCCACCCAAATGTGGAGCTCTGTCAGCGTGTGAGATAGAAGA